TTTAGAGATGTATCATGGCTGAAGAGGCAGCTGTTGCCTGGGAAGACTTTGAAAATATGATTCATACCAGCGTCCAGGTCCAGCGGAGTATAAAATTACTGTCTGAGACCTGCACACTTTCTAGAGGTGGATGGAAATAGCAAAACTAAAACCCTGAAAGAACGTGTATTTACATTTACAGTGGTACCTCAGAACTCGAACTTAATCCGTTCAGAACTCCGGATCGAATCCTAAAAAGTTCGAGTTCTGATCGAATTTTCCTCATAAGAAATAATGGAAAACCAATTAATTGGTTCCCCGCCCCAAAAAATTACATCGAAATATGTTTTTTTTTTTTAGCATTTAAACACTGTTTAAATGAACCGTATAAAACAAGAAGAGCATATACTGTACTAAACACATCTAAGCACATTTATCAAAACAGTAATTTTTAAAGTAAGAAGATAAATGTGTCCTGCCCCAATCGTCCGCTCCTTCCGTGTGCCACGCCCCCTCGTTAACCCCATGCGGAATCCCCATGTGATCAGCTGTTTCTGGTTGTTGTCATTAGTCCTCTGTATTTAGTCCGCATTTCAGTTTATTTCCCCAGTCCGGTCATTGTATTGTCCGTCTGCGTTTTGCCTGCCTTACCTGTAATTAAACCCCGTATTCCCCGATACCCTGACATCTGCGCCTTTTGTCTCCGTTCTGTCCCCGCTCGGCACGACAATATTATTATAATTAAATGTATTAATGGTTTATTGTTAACATTAAAATAACGAATAAGAAATATTTATTTTTAAATGTATTTTATTATATAATAATAATTACTGTTACTGTCTATCATTGTCTAAATGTATTTTTACTGTCTAAATATATGTGTTCAGCTAGTGTAAACATGCACGATGCTATCACAGCGAATGCGAGGCTGAAACTGAAGCGTTACCCTTTGTTTCCGCTGAGAGACGTGCCACGTGACTCATTTCCCCATGTGTACAAGTTATCTTCGGTCGGCGTTCACGGTTTGACTTCTGAGATTCAGATCGAGTTCTAGGTTGGTTTGACTTTTAAGAAACTCGAGTTATAATGAGTTCGAGAACTGAGGTACCACTGTATTTTTTATTGTCCAAAGTGATGTATATGTGAGGCAAATAGCACATTACAAACATACATACTGTCACAGGGTCTACTAGAGATAAGTTTCTACTGAATACCCAGTTACATGTGTAAGCAGCACTGGAGCAGGACTATGCAAAATTAGTTAGGTGATAGAAAACGCTGATAATTCTGATCCAACAACTGGCATTATCTGGGTTCAACCGGGTTTATCATTGTGCCAGTTAATGAGCCCAGTATCACCAATGTTCATGGTATCACCACTAAGCTCTTGTTGGGGACCGTGTCACACTTCTTGCCTTATGGCGCTTTTCCACTGCCTCCAAGAACTGAGCCATACCTGAACCGTGCTAAGAACTGGCGGTTTTCCATTGTAAGAGCAGGGCCAAAAGCATGACCTAACCGACCTAGTTGCATCACCACCATCTGATTGGTCAAAATACACAGAGGTATCAGTGTTCTGCACGCAGATTATTTGAAGGAAAAAAGCGTGTATTCTGTGTACTATGTGTCTCACAGTGTCTGAGACATCATTAGGGCCCTCTGATCAGAGGTTAAGCAAGAGAATCGCATGGCTTTGTTATTTCGCAAGAGGGTATGATGGGTCATCCCACTGTCAAAATGAGACTTTGTTTTTTAATGTTTTTTTTACCACACTGATGTCAGTACCTGCAATAGCACTTAGCTCTTCTGTAGCTCCCTAATTAGTCCACAGTCCTAAATCCCTACAGCAGTTCACATGTCAAGAAGACAGAGTTATTCTGGCCTAACTAATTATTTACTTGCAGGAATGATTAAGTATTTTCAGCAACAGCTAATAAATAACTGACCAAACTCCTGATTTTCAACCACTGGGTGAGTTCTTCTGCAATCAGACGAGGCTGGAGGACGTGGTCGCCTGTGCGGGAATGATCTATCCTGTCAGATCTTCGCTCGTTCTGATCAGCCATAGCTCTGGTGGCCATCTCACTCTGCGAACGTGAAAAACGATGGGACTGACCACTTTCCAGCCCTTCACTCTGCCAGGGGGTGGGGGTTGTGGGGGGAAGAGATCAGAGACTCATTCCCTGAAGGGGCACTATTAAGAACGCGGAGAATTAATCGTTAAACGCCCCTACAAAGAGACGTGTGACCTGGCCTGGTTTTCATGCCAGCCCTGCAGCGCTGGTGAGCTGCGATAACGCCGCCGCAGCCAGAGGCTCACGACTGCATTTCCGGAGCTTTCCGAGAAGCGGTTAACTCAAGGCCCCAAATGCCACATTACTCGCTAGGAACAATAAATACTGTTAATTGGAAGTAAATCTTGCCATGCGCCATTTTATCCGCTGCCTGCAGGAGGGGCTGTTATGTATTTTTATACATTCTACCATGGTGTGAAGATTGTCTGCATATCTACAATGGCCCCTCATTTCCGTCTGTATAATGGCAGAAATCTTCATTCAATTCAGCAATGAGCCCTACTTAAAGCACAGTGTTATGGAAGCAGTTAATTCATATTAAATAAGAGAATGAAAATTAAATTTAGTGCGTAATAGCAGAGCATATTGTTAAATGAATCCTGGATTCAATTGTGTATAAAGTTTAAGGATTTCCTCTCAAAATGTGAATACCTTGCACTGTTCCACTAATGAAAAACATGCAGTTGGAGGAAGGAATTAACTGAGGAATTAATTCAGGTGTGGCTGTGTCCTGCTGGAAGATAGCCCCTTGTGCCAGGCTAGAATATGTTTGAAAGCCCCATCTGTGTTTTTCTCAGATCAGTTTGTACTCCATCTGCAATATTCCCGTTAACTCCGGGTCAGAGTTTGTCCAAGGACAGATCCTACCTGACATTTGCATCTGAGCAAAATATTGACTTTGTTGTGAAAGCAGAGCTGCTGCCTGTGATGTTTGGCTTCTAACATTACCCTAGAAATTAAGTCTGGGAGCTCCAGGGTTACCTTAGCAATAAACACCTATTTTCAGAGTCACTTAAGAAATTAATACAGAGTGGTTCAGAGTCTCTTTAGAAATAAACACTGAATTGCTCAGAGTCATTGTAGAAATGAACACAAGGGGTTCAGAGTCTCTTTAGAAAGAAACACTGAATTGTTCAGAGTCATTGTAGAAATGAGCACAAGGGGTTCAGAGTCTCTTTAGAAATAAACACTGAATTGTTCAGAGTCATTGTAGAAATGAGCACAAGGGGTTCAGAGTCTCTTTAGAAATAAACACTGAATTGCTCAGAGTCATTGTAGAAATGAACACAAGGGGTTCAGAGTCTCTTTAGAAAATAAACACTGAATTGTTCAGAGTCATTGTAGAAATGAACACAAGGGGTTAAGAGTCTCTTTAGAAAATAAACACTGATGGGTTCAGGGTCCTTCACACATTCAAACTGAAGGGTTCAGAGTTACTTAAGAAATAAATACTGAATTGCTCAGAGTCACTTTAGAAATAAACACTGAGTGGGAGTCACTTTAGAAATAGACTCTGAGGGGGTCAGAGTCACTTTAGAAATAAACACTGTAGGGTTCAGGGTCACTTTAGAAATAAACACTCAGGGCTTTAAAAGCAATTTGGCAACGAACACAGAATAACCTTAGAAATTAACACAAAGTTTCTAACCCCTGGAGGTTGTCATTCTCTGTCTGACCTGTATGTGGATTGAATTTCATTTTCTTCCCCTTCCCTGCATTATTAAAAAGCAGAACAACAAATATGTACATAAGCTGCAGGGGCACACACAGCAATGCCGCGAGTGACCAATCACACGGCACAGCTCCGCCGCGAGTGACCAATCACACGGCACAGCTCAGCCGCGAGTGACCACGCGGCACAGCTCCGCCGCGAGTGACCAATCACGCGGGCACAGCTCCGCCGCGAGTGACCAATCACGCGGCACAGCTCCGCCGCGAGTGACCAATCACGCGGCATTCCTCCTTCCCCCACGACAGGACGGGGAAGATGCCACCTCTGCCGAATTGCCTTCCACTTAACGGACATCCAAACAAAGCAAATGACAGCAGCTGACACCTGGCCGAAAAGTCTTGGCCCACCACACCGAACGCGGCCCCAAATACAGCACTGAGCAGCTGAGCGAAATTCTCTCTCAGACAGACTCATACAAGCACATAGACAGTGACGGCACTTGGGTCTCTGTGTGCGTCGTTGCCTTGGAGATGGAGGGGAACCTCGGCCCACCTTATGGTCACCTGACAGTACCATGCCAGTCGTTAGAGAGACCAGACCCTGACTCACATTCAGATTCATCATCGCATCACAGTTTGCGCAACGTAGACAGTGAGTGAAGTGCTTATGTTCCGAGCTCCAAGCAGCGATTCACAGTCGGAGTACGCAGGAGTACACATTAATGATGCAATCTGACAAATGAGTAGGAACAGACAATACATATAAGTAGGATGTAGAACAGGTACTGCTATCTTTTTACTGTTTCCATTTAAGAGCTCTGTGTGCATCAGAAGCGTGGCTCTGTCTACAACAAGGGTCACAAACTGCAGTCCTGGGGGGCCGGAGCCCTGTGTAGCTTAGTTCCTTCCCTGTTCCACCTCAAACGATTCAGCTCAAGAGCCGTGTGGTAATTAGCACAAGGAGCTGAATCAGGTGTGTTAAATGAGGGGAAACCCAAAAATGTGCAGGGCTCCGGCCCCCCAGGACTGGAGTTTGACACACCTGGTCTTGAACATAGAAATGCTCATAAAGTGGATGTAAAGGGAGCAGATGATCCTGCAGGGGGTGGGGGGGGGGGCGAGGGAGGGGACCCTAACCTGTCGGCCGCCCCTCTGGCTGTATGGAAAAGTGAATGAAATGA